GGCCTATAAATTCTAATAAAATCACTAAATCACTGAAGATCTGTTCCTGACTTCTTGCCAAGTAATTGCTGCTACAGCGTGGAGTTTAGAAGATATCGGCCTGGCAGCTCTCCAAGCCTGATAAAAGTCTCTAGTTCTGAAATCTCTTGAAAGACTGTTGGCCAGGACTTTGCTGGAGAGGAATTCCCTTTAACCTAAATAAAAGGGGTTTTATCGGGATGAGGAGTCGGCTTCATGATCTTGGGAAGTCTAGGAGATTGGCTTCCCCCTTGCTTGTCAGAAGGTCACATAAGGGGATCATGTGACCCCACAACACTGTGACCGTCCTAAGTATAAGTCAGTTTCCCAAGTTGAGTTTTGATCACATGATCTTGGGGATGCTGGGAAGGTTGTAAGTGTGAAAAACGGTCATGACTTTTTCCCACTACCGTCGTAACTTCGAACAGTCACTGAATGAGTGGCTGTAAGTTAAGAACTCTATGTTAAATATACACAGTCTTATGAAGAAATTTGTGCCATAGATGGCTAGCATTGTAATAATGCAGCAAAATAATTGCCAAGCTTCTTCATTTTCTTAAATGCAGGTAGTCCTCGACTTACAACAGTTCACCTAGTGACCATTCGAAGTTACGACAGTGGGCAAAAAGTCACTTACCACCACTTTTCACACTTTACGACCATTTGCAGCATCCCCGTGGTCAGGTGATCAAAATTCAGACGCTTGGCAACTGACTCATTTTTATGACGGTTGCAGCGTCCCGGGATTGCGTGATCCCCTTTTGCGACCGTCTGTCAAACCAAAGCCAATGGGAAAGCTGGATTCACTTATTGGCCTTGTCCCGAACTTAAGAACTGCCGTGATTCACTGAATAACTGGGGCATGAAAGGTTGTAAAATGGAGCCAAATTCACTTAAACAAAGGTCTCACTTAGCAGCAGAAAGTTGAGGCTCAGTTTGGGGTCGTAAGCCGAGGACTACCTGTAGGGATGGGATTAGACCTCTCCAATAAAGCTGTATAATATATAAAGTCCAAAATTTGCTAGTCTAGAAAATACTAAACTGCAACTTGGCTTGGGAAGGAAAATGTTTCAGTGTTTTTGTTGGCAATGGCAGAAGGCAAGTTATGGAGTTACAACAGGGATTTCCTGCGTCCCGTTGCACAAGAGTGAACAGCCGTAGCAACTCTCCTCAGCCAAGCGACTCCTAATACGTAGGATTGTCACAAGTCAACACTTCTGCCTACACTACTGCATGTCTGGGAAGGCTCATGGCACTGCAGTTTTAATTTCCGATGTATAACAGAATTGGAAGAGACCTCGGAGGTCTTCTAGTCCAACCCCCTGCTCAAGCAGGAAACCCGATACCATTCCAGACAAATGGCGGTCCAATCTTTTCTTTAAAAGCTTCCAGTAATGGAGCACCCACAACTTCTGGAGGCAAATCATTGATTACCGTATTTTTCAGAGTATAAGACGCACATTTTTCCCGCAAAAAAGAGGGTGATAATCTGGGTGCGTCTTATACACCAAATACAGCATTTTTGGCCTTCTGAAACCTCGCACCCTTCACAAAAATGAACATGCAGAGGCGTTGGGAGGCCTGCAAAGTGCTCCTGGGGGCTGGGGGAAGGCAAAAAAGAGCGAAAAATGGAACCCCCCCCCCAGCTCCCAGGAGCACTCTACAAGCCTCCTAAAAGCTATGCATGCCTCTTTTTTGGCAAAAAAATGGCTCGTTTTTGCAAAAATAGGTCCATTTTTTGCTCATTTTTGCCTCCCAGCCCCAGGAGCAATTTGCAGGCTTCTCAAACTCTTTGCATGCCCCGTTTTACACAGAAAATGAGGTGTGGAGGAGGATTTGGAAGGCCTGCAGAGTACAAAACCTTTCTTAAATTTTTTTTTACCTCTTTAAAATCTTTGTGCGTCTTATACTTCGGTGCGTCTTATACTCCGAAAAATACAGTAATTGTTCTCACTTTTCTTTATAATCTTTAAAATCTTTTCTTAAAAATGGAGCACCCACAAAACTGGCCCTAATTATTTGGGGTGGGCATTTTCCCCATGGGACTCAACCTCGTCTCCCTCCACAGTGAATACTTTCCCCACCAATTACAATATCTGCTAACCGCAACCCGAGGACGGGCTTCCCCGTTTTGATAAGAACCGAAGCAGAATTCCGCAAAACGGCAGGCGTATCTCCCCGTATCCTCTTTTGTTTATTTTTATTTTTTATTCCCCCCCCCAAACATTTCAACCTCCTCCCCGCTTTGGAGGGGCAATCGCGGGCTTCTTCCTAGGCCGTGGCGCAACCGTTCCCCCACCGCGGCGGTGTGATGTCTCCCCTGCGGAGAGAACCGCCGCGTCCTCGCTAGGGTAACTAAATAGCGTCCTCTTTCTCAGCATTGGCTGGTCCTCACTTGGAGTCTGGTGTTCTGTACTAGGTGCCAGAACGCATGAACGCGGTCAGCCAAGAGGAAAAGAGGAGACTGTGAGGAGGGTGACAGAAGTTCCAGCGGGCAAGTCATATAAGGAGAGGCTGAAGGAGCTGGGTACGTTCTACTTAGAGAAGACTTAAGGGAAGGTCCGTCATTGTGAAAGAACAGGAGGGGGGGGAGAGGAGGGGGGGATTCATCTCTTTCAACTGATTTATGTGTCAGAATAATCCATGGTCAGGCATGACATCAAGTCTTGAATTTGCATGTTCCGATCCTCCCCTCTCTCTTTCCCCGCCCCACATTCTTTATGTGTTCCACCTCCCTCCATAAGTTCTGTTACACAGAGGTATCCAGATGGCAAAATGTGGGTTTTATATGGTTTATTTGCCCAACCTGGGGGGGGAGGAGGAGGAGGAGAAAGAGGAGGGGAAGTAGGGCTAGGGGAAAGGCGAACGAGGAGGGAGGGAAAAGAGGAGCAGGAGGAGAAAGGAGGAGTAGGAGAAAGAAGGAGGGTGGGAAGAGGAGCAGGAGGAGTAGGAAAAGGAGAAAGGAGGGTAGGAAGAGGAGCTGGAGAAAGGAGTAGGAGAAGGAAAAAGGAGGGTGGGAAGAGGAGCAAGAGAAAGGAGGAGGAGAAGGAGGAGAAAAGAACAAGGGAGGGAAGAGGAGCAGGAAAAAGGAGTAGAAGAAGAAGGAGAAAAGAACGAGGGAGGGAAGAGCAGGAGGAGAAAGGAAGAGTAGAAGAAGGAGAAAGAAGAACGAGAGGGAAGCGGAGCAGGAGAAGAAAGGAAAAAGGGGATGGGGAGGAAGAGAAAGGAGAAGGGAGGGAGGGAGGAGGAACAATATGAGAAAGGGGGAGCAGGAGGAAGGGGAAGGAGAGGGGCGGGGGAAGAGGGAGAAAGGGAGGGGGGTAGAAAGAAGGAGAAAGAGGAGGCAGGGGGAGGAGCAGGAGAAAGGAGGGAGGGAGAAGAGGTGAAAGAGGAGAAGGAAAAGGAGGAGATGAAAGGGTAAAAGGAAGAGGAAGAGAAAGAAGGAAGAGGGGGAGGAGGAGAAAGAGGAGGCTGGGAGGAGGAGGGAGGAACAGAAGGAGGAGGAGAGGGAGGAGATGGGAGAGAAAAGGGGAGTTCAGCTAAAGTATAAAATGAAGTGCCTAGAAAGGAAATTCTTTGCAGGAAAAGAGTTTTTTCCCCCCAGCCATTCACAAGAAACATTAATTTTAGACTTGAAACCCTGTGGAGAGAAATTGTTAGCAAATAGCCAACGGAATCCATTCTGAAAGTTCCTCTCATATTCCCACTTTGCGGCGATTAAAATTGCAACAGATGTTTTATTGCCAGAACAAATTTTGGATGCCATTAATGGGCCCCTTCCCCATTTTGATATTCAAGATTTCTCAGACGCCTACATGGGGAGCGAGCACCTTATTTATTTTTTTAAATAGCCTAATGGGGAGAAAATTATATTTTGTTTGTAAGCATGAAGAACAGGAATTCGGTGTCCACTGTTAGTCAAACTCGATTTTTCATATGCAACAAAACTTTGAATTATCAGGGCATTGCCTGATCCTTAAATTCCAGGACAGCAGTAGATAAACAAGGACGCTCTGACCCTCTAGATGTGGTTGAACAAGAATCCTGAAACATCCTTCAGCTGCATAGTTGAGGGTCAAAGAGTGGAGAACTGAAGATAAACATCTGGAGGGCCACCAATGGCCTACACCGCCTCTAAAGTTCTCTTCTTGTACAGCTCTTCTTCTGGATTCAGGGAGATCTAGACAAGGGCCTATAACACTTCGCCATGGCCAACTGGCCGCAGGGCAGTACAAGAGTTACACTAAGATCGAAGAAAGGGTGGAATAGAATCCTTAAAAGAAAGGATGCAAAAGGAGGGACAGAAAGAAATGTGAAGCAGTTTGCAGAGTCGGCCTCTGGCCCCCAACAATCTCGGCCTTCATTTTACCCACCTCGGAAGGCTGAGTCAACCTTGAGCCTAGTGGGATTTCAACGGCCAAATTGCAGGCAGCCGGCAGAAGCAGCCCGCAGTACTGCACTCGAACCCACTGCGCCACCTCGGCTCAAAATAAACAGCTCCAGGCATGTCCAGAGGGGAATCAAAAGAAAAAAGTCAAGATGGCAGCCGCAACCATGTGATTGAGGTCGCTCCCTTCTGGTGTTGGTTGCAGCTTTTGAGGGCTTGGTTGTAGGTCCTCTCTTGACATACCCCTCTTCACACCTCATTAGACCCCTGTGCAACATACATCATAAGGGGAGGACCTCAAATCCCCTCGTTACGGCTACCATCTTGGGTCTAAGCCAATTCCATGAGGTGTTGGGTTTATCAAACGTCTGTCCTTTCTCTCTTTTTTGAATGGGGCAAAGAAATGGACACGCTCCTCCGCTCCTTCCCATTTCTGAACCCCAAGGATGGGGAAGGGAAGCAAAGAGGGACATTAAAAAGACATCTACTATTCATCCATTTTATTCCCTGCTTCAGAATCCAGCCATTGGTTGCTTTTGATACACAGGTGGTCCTCGACTTACAACAGTTTGATTTGGTGTGTCATAACTTTGAATAGTCGCTACATGAACTGCTGTAAATCAAGTATTACCTATAGTGACCCCAATTTAGTGTGGGCCCCAGAGAGGTCATCTATATTACTCACCTACAATTCAGGAGGCAAAGCTTATCTGAGCTACTCTTTTTGATAAGCCTTTGGAGCTTTCTGTTCCTTCAGAACGCGGAAGCTCATTTATTCCTAACTATCCGATAACCCGGCGTTGCCCGCGTATCTATTTATAGGGGGGAAACGTCCAGACCAAACATAATTTCTAATGTTGGATTTTCACCCTTATCAGAGGGAGCCCCCTTGTGGAGTACTGTAAAGCCGTTACCATGACAACTCCACTGCACTGTACAGTAGAAGCCATTGTAAGGCAGAACAGGCTGTATCTTAACAGAACGCACACACCGAGGGGTTTTAAGAGTGTCTTATCCCCACAGTATTTGTTTGCAGAGAGTAAGTCATCTTAGAGGCCCACTGATTTGTGTGTAGGCCTGAGCATAGTTTCTCGGTTGAAATGGGTTAAAAACCAGAAGGGAAAACGCGTGACCCGTCAAAACTGCGCTCAACTAAGCCGCGCCTGATTAAACCGCGTCGCTGACGTCATCAACAGGGCGACAACAGCCAGCGCGGAGAAAGAAGGGAACTTGAAATAGCGCTTTGAAAACAAGCCGATTCAACTTAAGGTAAGGGTTAGGTTAAGGGTTAGGGTTAGGTTTAGGGTTAGGTTAAAGGTTAGGGTTAGGTTTAGGGTTAGGTTAAA